CGGAGAAAGAGTAGGCTTTCTGATCTTATAAAGATTTACAATCTCGGAAACCCTACATAGATCTGCTATGAGTCAGGATAGATTCGATGACAGATTCGATGTGGTTTATGTTTTGTTACTCATCTCCTGAAGGAGATTTTGGGTGTTTCTACCTTTTGACTGAAGTACTAGTGTGGCGCTGTGGGTTAATGCACTGGACCGCAAGGTCGGCGGTTCAAGCTCACCAGTCACTCCTGGAAACCCTATACTATGAATATAGGATGGAACTGACCCAACTATGAGTTGGACAGAACTGACTCAGCGGCACTTAACAACACCTTTTGACTGTTGTGAAAAGTGTTGCAGTGAACATTGGTGGACAGGTTTCTGTTTGCATTCCTACCTTACATGTTCTTTCTGGGTCTTATGGTAAATCTATGTTCAACTTTTTGAGGAACTGCCAAACTATTTCCACAGTGGCTGTACAATTACATTTTTACCAGCAATGAATGAGGTTCTTTTTTCTCTATAACTTTGCCAGCACCTATTGTTTTCTGGTTTTCTCAACAGCAGATAACAATACGAACATACGTACACACACACACACACACACACACACACATATATATATATTGTTGTTGTTAAGTGCCTTCGAGCCAGTTCCAACTCATAACAACCCTGATAGGGTTTCCGATGAGCAACAGGTGCGTTTGAACCGCCAGCCTTGTGATTCAAACAACCTTTTGGTCAGTGCATTATACATATGTTGCTGTTAAGTGTCATTGAGTCAGTTCCAACCCATAGCGACCCTGTTATAGGGTTTCCAAACAGCGGCTGGTGAGCTTGAACCACCAACCTTGCAGTTCAAATGGCTTTGCAGTCTGGTGCATTAGCCCATTATACATATAGGTATTTTTAACCTGCCAAAATGGGATTGCCATACATTTATCCTACTATTTTATGATTTATATTCATCCCTCAGTGATATGTAGTAAACATATATTCATCTTTCCAATCACTGCCATTCTAATTTGGTGAGATGGTATATCTCATTATGGTTTTGATTTGCATCTCCCTAAGCAGCCTCCGTGTGTGGCGCTGTAGGATAAGCACTGGATTGCAAATCACAAAGTTGGCAGTTGAAATCCACCAGCTGCTCCTCAAAAACCCTATACAGGGTCACTATGAGTCAGAATTAAGTTAATGGCACTTAAGCAAGAAGAATGGCCAACAAGGAGTCCTGGTGTGGCACTATGGGATAAGCATTGGGCTGCTAACCACAAGGTTGGAGGTTCAGACGCACCAGTCACTCCTCAGAAACCCTATACAGGGGCTCTATGAGTAAGAATTGACTAAATTGCACTCACAGTGACAACAGTGGCTAATGATGTTGTTCTTCTTTTTATGGTCTTGTTGGCCATTTGGTGGTGTCTCTTTTTATCATACAGATTTCTTTGCTGGATTCACTCAGGTCACAGACCTATACACTCACAGTGTCCAGATTTTTTTTCTGTTGGTGTCTGTTTATATTGATATATATGTACTCTTTATAAATGTAATTATAATGTCTATTTTTTCTACAGATTATAGAGCTCGAATATTTCTGTTTTATAAATTTTACAATTCAGCATTTAGTGACTACTATGCACATTGATGCTTTTGAGTTGTGATGTTGGAGGAGAATATTGAAAGTGCCATGGGCTGCCCATAAAACCCAATAGATCCGTTTTGGAAGAAGTGCAAGTAGAGTGCTCCTTGGAGGCCAGGATGGCCAAACTTCGTCCCTCATACTTCAGACATATTGTCAGGAGGGACCAGTCGCTGGAGAAGGATATCATGTTTGGTAGGGTGGAGCATCAGAGAAAAAGAGGAAGACCCCCAACGAGATGAATTGGCCAAGTGGCAGCATCAGTGGACTCAAGCGTGTCAACAGTAGTGAGGTTGGCCCAGGATCGGGCAGTGTTTCGTTCTGTTGTGCATAAGGTCGCTATGAGTTGGTACTGACTCAATGGCACCTAACAACAACATGCACGTACATATTGGAATGGTGCTGTACTGCAATGTTGGTTGGAACCCGAAGGTTGGTGGTTCAAACTTACCAGGTGCCCCTGGGAAGCATTATACAGGTTCACTATGAGTCGGAACTAACTTGACAGCACTTAACAACAACAATATGCACATACACAGCATGGCAGCATTGTAGGATAGCACTGGACTGTGTTGGATAACACAGGTCAGCAGTTTGATCCCATCAACCACTTCACAAGAGAAAGATAAGGCTTTTCTCCTCCTGCAAAGAATTACAGCCTTGGAAACCCTATTACAGAGTCACTGTGAGTCAGAACCGACTTGATAGCAGATTCAACAATATGCACATACATGTAACATGTATACATACGGGTATTTTAAATCTGCCAAAACAGGATTAGTATACACTTGTCATACTATTTTATTATCTGTGTGAGTCCTGGTGTGGCGCTGTGGGTTAATGTACCAGACTGCAAAGCTATTTGAACTGCAAGGTTCACGTTCACCAGCTGCTCCTCGGAAACCCTATAGGTCAGAACTGACTTGATGGCACTTAACAACAACAACAACATTTATCCTCATCGTTCCAATGAAAGATCTACATCATTATTTTTAAATGGCAGCATGTTTTTCACTCTGTGGATGCTTTATAATTTCATCTATTTGCTATTAAAGGACCTTTAAGTTCTTCCTGGCTTTTCCAATGTAAACAGTATCTGATAGCACATATATACGTCTTTGTCCACATGTGCAATTATTTTTAGTTCCAAAAGTATAATTTCTGAGCCAAAGGGTTTGCATTGTCTAAATGTTGCTTGTACCTACATTTAGTTTTACACAAATCTACAGTACAGTGATAGTTCATTTCCTCACAAAATTACTCTTACAGAACATGAAGTGAGATTTAATATCTTTTGGTGAGTTTGTGTGTTATAGTCACTGTGTCAGTGACTTTCGCATGTTAGAGCTTCTTTAATTTGGGGAACAAGAAATTTTGGGTTTCAGAGGCAAAAGAAATCGAAAGAGAGCTGACTTTGTAATTAGAACAATAAGTGGCAGTTTTGACACTTATAAACTGAATTTCTACAAGTGAGTTCACTCCTTTTAGAATGAATTTTCTGGTCCATTCATGAGAATAAAGTTAATGTGTATAAAAAAAACCTATCTGTCATGTGGAGGTTCTCAATAAATAGATTACATGAAAGCTATTAGGGGAGTGTAGGATAAGCACTGGACTGCAAGCCACAAGGTCAGCAATTCGAACCCAGTAACTGCTCCATGGGAGAAAGATGAGGCTTTCTGCTCCCACAAGGATTTACAGCCTTGAAAACTGTATACAGGGTTGTGATGAATTGGAACCAACTTGGCATTTAACAATCTCTTTATTGCTGCATAGGCCATGAATTTACTCCTCTTCAGCCTAGGTTGTAAGAAACAGAAGAAAGTGGCAAATGAAACCATATAGGAAAGCAATGAGGATTGATTCTGATTAGAAATAGAAAGTGATACTAAGCCCAGAGGATTCTGTGGAAGTTTTCCTGGCTGAGGGTTGGCAGGCTCCCAGGGCAGCAGTTCTACAGGAGAAAAGGCTGCCAGACTTGTCCTTGTGAATTTTCCTCTTTATGTCAGGTGAGTCTAAGCCGACTTGTGAGGCTTTGAAAGAGGTTATGGTTGGGATATATTAGCTCTGAAAGGTAGGGATTAAGTTTGTCTAAACTCCCTTAAATGTCTATGAGAGAGACAGAGAGAGAGAGAGTTGTGTGTGTATGTTAGTCTGCCAAACGAAAGTTGCCAGTTCTAGTTCACCCAGAGGTGTCTCAGAAGAAGGCTTAGCAAACAGTCATATGGAGCACAGATCTGTTCTTACATACATGGAGTCACCATGGGATGGAGTCAACTAAATGGCAACTAGTTTTGGATGAATGTAATGCGATAGGGATTTAGTGGAGATAGTAGAGAGGTTTGTGTCAACAAGGACAGAGATTATTCCAAGTATTAATAACAGCAGACATTTGAGACATAATTTGAAGTCTTAACAGCATGAATTTGTTTCAGGCCACATATTTTTGTGGTCTTGTTTTTTTGTGTGTGTTTTTTTAAAGTGGGAAAAGTGGCACCAAACCATCCCTCCCACAACACTCTACCCAATTGGGTTAAAAAGTTCGTTCCAGTGGCCACACAGAGCTCACTGTGTGGCCACAGTTCTGGGATTTATTAGGGAAGTGAATAAATCCCACAGTTCTGGGATTTATTAGGAAAGTGAACAGGTTACAAATCAGGGTCAGAAATGCTCAGGGCACAGTTATTTCAGCTTGGACAGCTTCTCCTCAGCCATGCCCACAGGTAGACTCTGCCCAGCCAGTGTTAAAAAAGAGCGTTTTTAGGGCTACTGATAAATGCCCACAGGACACACCACTCCACCATAAGCCTTAACCTGAAGGCACTCAGGTCTAGCTCTGGGTCAGCAAACCAACCATTCCCCAACCCCACCCCGTACTCTGATTAAGTGACTGGAGGCACCTCACTGTGCAAGCAAGCCTCCTGCCCAAAGTCACTCAGCTTTATTTGCTACAAGGGCTGGGAAGCCCATTGGTCTGATTTGTGTTCTGGTTCCTGGTTCTGATACTTCTTCTCTGCCATTCCGCCAGTGTCATGGCACTCTGACCCAGGGTTGAGGAGGTTCAATGCATAGGGATTGCGGGGGCCAAAGGATATGACTCCTGGTGCTTTTTCTTTGATGTTAGTGAGGTTCCCCCATCTTGCTTCTGAGATGGCTCATTTTATACCCATGTTAGGTTACAAGTTTTTATAATCACAATTAGCCCTGTTAACATTCATAGCTGAATCTTCCATCAGCATCTTCCCCTACCTTCTCTTACCCTACCTATCAGGAAGAGGACATTTGGTGGGAGTTTGCAAAGATTATGGCTAGAAGAGACATTAAATAGTTCACTGCAACACAGATCTTTTGACAGTAGTTTAGTGTAGTAGCAATGGTAGAAGTTATGAAGCTGAATTACCAGGATTCCAATCCTCCAATCCTAAACCTAGCGATTAGGATCTGGGTGAGTTTGGAGAAATTATTTTATCTCTGTGCTACAGTTCCTTTTGTAATGTGAGGATAATAATATAATCAACTCTATAGATGATATGTGTAAAACCTTTAGATTATATTTGGTGCATCATAAGTGCTGTTACTATTATGTTGTGAGTCAGTGTTTTCCCCTGTGACCAGATTAAAAATTAACAGGATTTTGCCACCTTTACTTCATCTGTCCACACTTCTGGAGCTTTGGTGGTACAGGAGCTAAAGTGATTTGCTGCTTAATGAAATATCAATAGTTTGAAGCCACCAGCCATCTGCAGGAGAAAAATGTGACAGTGTGCTTCCATAAACATTACAATTTGGAAACCCTATAGGGTGTCCTCTCCTCTATAGGGTCACTATGTGTTGGATTGACTTGATGGCAGTATGTTTGGTTTGGTTTTTATTTTGATGTTGGTTTTTTAAGCCTATCTGATCTCATGGCTTCTTTTTCCTCCCCCACCAGTTCTGGTTTCTCTGGACTCTGTGTGTCTCCAGGCAAATTAACCCCAAGAAAGACTGACCAGTTCTTGAGTTTCTAAGCCATGGCCCATGTAAGTTATGGTTTCTTTCTCTTTCTGGAAGTACTGTCATATTTAGGTTCTGTGAGCATTCCTTTATACTATAACTTCCTACCTATCAGCTCCATCAAACCCAGCAGGTTTAAAGTGAAACATTCCAATGGTTGTGCTGCGTGCCCTCTTTTTCCAATCACTGTTCATATATTCATTGGAAAACCTTTCATCAACTCCTGTGTGCTCAGTTCTCTGCCAACAGCAGTTTGGTTGGTTGGTTATGTGCCATGGAGTCTGTTCTGACTCATAGCGACCCTGTATAGAGTTTCTGAGGCTATAAATCTTTACAGGATCAGAAAGCTTCATCTTTGTCCCGTGGAATGACTGACCTTGAGGTTTGCAGCCCAATTTGTAACCACTACACTACCAGACGGCACTTAACAACAACAACAAAACCGCTACCAGAGCTCCTTTGGTAGCCAACAGCAGCAGTAAACAGAAATGAAATCCCTTGAGGGAGATGTTTGATCCACCCTGTGAGCTGATGAGAGAGAATGGGCCCGTGTGACTTCTCACAGGAAAACTCTGCACTTTTCTAGACTTGAGTTTTTCAGCTCTGCATGACAGAATTTGCTGTTGGGTGGCCTCAGCCTCAGTATATGGTGAGATGGCTTGCTTTGCTTGTTCTGTCCTAAAGGACAGTGTAGGAATATGGTTAGGTCTTACATACAGTGAGAGCAGAGATCTCTGTGTATCCCCAGAGTTGTGTACCAGGAACAAAGGTTCATTTGCAATTGAACAGTAGGTGCTATACTATGGTGACATCTAGCCATTCTGGATCATGCTCCATTACTGTCAGAAACAAGGGAGGGACAGAAAATGGTAACAGGTAAGATCATCTAGATACATAAGTGGTGGGTGATTGGAGACTCTCAGAATTGAGGAGAGACTTAGTGATTTATTTATCCCACCCAAATATTAAGTATAGAAGGTTGTTTGGTGTGTTTTTTGTTTTTGTTTTTTTAATTTAGCATTAACAAGGAAAAATGCCTGATAAAGTCTGACACAGTGATGAACTTGGAAGATATTCTTTGTCTTTAGATTCTTTTCTAAGATAGAAATATTGTAGGGAAAATTATTTTTAAAAATGTGCTTCTTAAGGAGAAAGGAAGAACTCACTTTTTGAGAATTTATGAGGGAAACCTACAGCATGTAGAAGGTTTATAAACAGTATTTCATCTAATTGGGAAATTTACCGATTGTTTTTCTTTTTCAGACATGTTTGTATAATTAAGGTATGCCAGGGTGTCCAAGAGAAACACATAGGCACACACTAATTTCCAAACTCACTATGCTACAGGTTCTAGCCAAGCCTGTTTACTTGCTATTTGTTCGCTTTTCCTACACTGTCTCTTCCATCTTTTCTCCTTCCATGTTAAAACAGATTTCCTTCCATTTTGATTTTAACACATAGGTTTGTTATTTCAGGGGTCAGTGATGTTCAGTGATGTTTCCATAGTCTTCTCTCAGGAGGAATGGGAATACCTGGACTTGGAACAGAAGGACTTATACAGAGATGTGATGTTGGAGAACTATAGCAACTTGGTCTCATTGGGTAAGGTTAGACTGTCCTGTTATTTGTTAGTAAATCTGTAAGGAAAATAGCTAGACTGGGATTCTTGGATTTCTCTTTTACAAGAGTATGTATAATTACTGCTGTGGTAAGTTGGGTCAGTAGGATTTATTTACAATTCAAGAGAATTTCATTTTTTAAATAAATATATTCATTTTTACCTGCTTTTGTGATCAAAAGTTCAAAATCCAAGAACTTTGTATTTACATCATATGATGGTCCTAAGAAATAACAGTAATGTCTTAAAGTCTCCCCCCAAAACAAATCCACTACCATTGAGTCAATTCCACATCATGCAACTTTGTAGGATGTAATAGAACTGCTCCATGGGATTTCCAAGGCTGTAAATCTGTACAGAAGCAAACTGCTTCATCTTTCTCCTATAGAACAGCTGAGTTAAATCCACAGACGTTTTGGTTAGCAGCTCTATACTTAAGCTACTGCATCACTAGGACTCCTTGTAACTGTCTTGCTTTGTTATTAAGTGCTGCTGAGTTGATTCTGACTCATAGTGACCCTGTATAGGATTTCCAGGGAGCAGCTAGTGGGTTTGAACTATCTATCATTAGGTTAGCAGTCCAGTGCTTATCCTACAGTGCCATACCAGGACTCCTGTAAACGTCTTCTTGTTGTGTGCCGTCGTGTCGGTTCCAACTCATAATGACCCTGTATAGGGTTTCCAAGGAGTGGCTGGTAGGTTTGAACCGCCAACCTTGTGGTTAGCAGTCCAGTGCAACTTATATCAATAATGATGATGGTAGTGGTGGTGGTGTGCTATGGAGTCGATTCTAACTCATAGAGACCCTGTATAGGGTTTCCAAGACTGTAAATCTTTATGGGAGCAGAAAGCCTCATCCTTCTCCCGTGGAGCAGCTTGTAGATTCAAACTGCTGGCCTATGGTTAACGTAACCCACTATAGGCAAGCATTGGTGTGATGCTCTGGGATAAGCATTGTACTGGTAAACCTAAAGATCAGCAGTTCAAACCCACCAGCTGCTCTCAGAAACCCGACACAAGTCACTATGAATCTGAACCAATTCAACAGCATATAACAACAAAATACTGTAGGCACTATTCTGAGGTATAGGTAGTATGTTGTTGTCGTTAGGTGCCGTTAAGTTTATTTTGACTCACAGTGACCCTGTATAGGGTTTCCAAGGAGTGACTGGTGAGTTTGAACCACCGACTTTGTAGTTCAACTCAACCTTGTGGTCCAGTGCTTAACCTACAGCGCCATACCAGGACTCCCCATAGATAGTATAGCATAGTTGTTTTTTCAATATTCAATGTCTAATTTATTTACAAAGTATTTGTACTTTAATAATAAAATGAAACAAAACTCTTACTTGTAAGACACTTTGTATTTTGACCAAATATGCTTCTGTCTTTAAAAATGTCATAGCCTAAGGCAAGTGAAAACTTCAGAATTTTGTGAAAAAACGTCTTTAACCCACTCATACCAGTCTTTCAAGCATAATAGATTTTTATTCTCTTCTGACACTATAAGCATTGTTCTGAGCTATAGCTATGTAGATATATAATCTTTACAAAAACCATATAAAATAGATACTCTTGCTTCATATTTTATCAGTGAGGAAAATGAACTATAGAAGTAACTGCTGAAGGTCACACAACTAGGATGTAGCAGAGGCAAGATTTGAACCTAGGCAAAGCAGACTGTTTTCAACCTTAACACCATTGCTTCTCAAGAAAGATGCTTGGATGAATATGAATTAAAGTAAGCCCTCTTCCCCTCCATTTCTAATCTGTTTGTTTTGGGACCTTAGTGTAAATATTTTTTATCTTGCCTTTCTTTGTTCTAAAGGTTTTATCAGTTATAGCTAATGTCGTTGTTTAATGTCATCCAGTCGGTTCCAATTCACAGCAACCCTGTATAGAGTTTCCAAGGAGCAGTTGGTGGCTTTTTGAACCACTCACCTTATGTTAGCAGTCCAATGCTTATCCTGTAGTGGCTCCAGGACTCCATTTAACCTGTGGTTTTTATAAATTTAACCTAGACTGAATCAAAGTAATTTTGACCAAATTTTTTATTTCTACATCATCTTAACATTTCTTTTCATGGCAACAGGATGTTTCATTTCTAAACCAGATGTGATTTCCTTACTGGAGCAAGGAAAAGAGCCCTGGAAGGTTGTGAGGAAAGGAAGGAGCCAACACCCAGGTAAGTGAAGGCCATCTGGGCAGGGGAAATCATTACCACAGGAAAGAATCCAAGTGGTTGAGGAAGAGACATAGACAGACCTTTGTGTTGTTCCTTAAAAAGCTCCATTTAAAGGTCCATGGCCTGAGGAAGAAGGATCTGAGTGAATCTTGTAGCAAATTAAGTTAGAGATAATAAACTAGAGATACTAAAATAATTTCTTCATAGTTTCATTCTCTCTTATTTTCCTCTTTGAAGGAAGTGGTTTGGGAGATTATCTCTGTGTCCCTTGTTGACCACCATTCCACTTACTGATTCAGTTACTGTCTTCTTTTGCAGTTAGGCTGTGTCCGTGTCTCCAGTACCTAAAGTACGTTCTTCCGTTTACTCCGCAAATATTTCCTAAGTGCCAGGCACTGTCAATACAGTAATAAACAAAAACAGTGACTGCCAAATCCATACGAGACTTTAAATACCAGCCGCAAGTTGCAATGGGGGGGCGGGGGGAGGTCCCCATGACCCCTTCACTTTTGACCTGCTGGCTACAAATTTAGAGGTTCCTACTGGAGTCCTGGTGTGGTGCTGTGAGCTAATGCATCAGACTGCACAGTTGTTGAACTGCAAGCTAGGTGGTTCAAGCTCACCAGCTGCTCCTTGGAAACCCTATACAGGGTCGCTATGGGCTGGAATCGACTCAACAGCACTTAACAACAGCAACAACAACAACTACCCCTTCACTGCTGACCTGCCTGGCCCCCACTACTCCCTTAGGTTCACTAATTCCTAGGACAATACACAGAACTCAGGAAGTATGCTGTACTTTAATTACAATTTTATTATAGCAAAAATACATGTGAAAGTTCCAAGTCCCACACAAGGGACATGCTATCCTTCCACAGGAATCCTGGTGTGGTGTAGGATAAGCACTGAACTGCTAACCGCAAAGCCAGCAGTTCACACCCACCCACACCTTGGGTTTAACTCCATAGCATTTAAACAATCACAGTCCTCCCACATGCATCCATGCCTTTCACCAAACACGGAGCCAGTGGCGTTTCCTCACCCAGAGCTTTTATTGGAGTCTCATTACATGGCCATGGTTGATTTAATCATACCTCCTCATGCCCTGGGAGTCCTGGTGTGGCTCTTTGGGCAAATGCGCTGGACTGCAAAGTCAGTTTGAACCTGAAGGTCAGTGGTTCAAACTCACCAGCTGCTCCTTGGAAACCCTATACAGGGTCACTGTGGGTTGGAACCAACTCAATGGCACTTAACAACAACCTCACCCCTGAGCTCAGCTGATAACACATGGTAGGGTTTTCTGGCATTGCCAGCCCCAATCTTTGTCACCTCATTAGCATAATTTGTCAGATCTGGGGCCCTCTTAGATAACAAAGCCACCTCAGTCACAAGATCTTAGAGGTTATGTATCTCTCAGGAAGGACAACAACCAAATTCTCAGGTACAGTTAATTGCAAGCCTCACAGTCAGAGAAAATTTTTTAAAAAATTTTTTCTCATAAATTAAATGAGAGATAAAAACTACCAAAAAACGATATGTTTGACATTGTAGTAATACATGTTTTGTCAATAACTAAAGTTTTATATGAATTACTCTAGAAGATTCTTTCTTGGGTCATAGACTATGGTTATCTTATTTGCTGTTTTCCATCTATGTGTCCGTCTTTGTCTAGGGAGAAACATGAAAGGCTCTTGGTTTGGCTTCTACAGAAGTCTCTGCTATTTTTATCTCTAAGTTTTGAACTTTTTTAAAAAAAGTATTCCATTATCTATATAAATTCTTTACATAGAGACATACGTCATCATTTTGTATTTTGCTAGCTATAAATTCAAGTTGGGCTGAGGACATTCATTTGGGATAACAGTTCTTATTTTGTAACCATAGGGCCTATTTCTGTGTCCACACTGTTACATAGTTACTGTTTGACTTTTTTCTAAGGAAACAAAACCTGGTTTTGTTTGTGTGTATGTGTGTGTATGTGTGTGTGTTTTTAAATTTCATCTTTTTTATATTGAGTTAATTACATGGCATTTGTTCCTGTTAGCTGTCATCAAGTTGGTTCCAGCTCATGACGACCTGATGTACACTGCCTGGTCCTGTGCCATCCCCACCAGTCATTGCTCTGCTGGAGCCCACTGTCAGTCCAGCTCAGGAGGGGCTTCGTCTTTGTCCCTAGCCCTCTACTTCACCAAGCATGATGGCCTTCTCTAGGGACTGGTCCCTCTTGACAATATTTCTAAAGTACGTGAGACCATGTCTCACCAGCCTTGCTTCTAAGGAGCATTCTGGTTGTACTTCTTTCAGTACTGATTTATTCACTGGTAGTTCATGGTGTAGTCAGTATTCTTCTCCAATACCATAATTCAAATGTGTCGGCTCTTCTTCAGTCTTCCTATTCATTGCCCAGCTTTCAATTCTCATATTTGAAATTCTATGGTTATGTGAAGCATAAAATGGGCAATGAAGGGAACACTGCATGGATAGAAGCCAGGAAGAAATATAAAAAAGGAAGAAGACACAGGGATATATAATCACCTTTTTCTACTGATATATTTACTGAGCTACCTTAAAAGAATAAAGGTGATATTAATTGTAAAATGTGAGAGAGGAGAGGTATAAATATATATATTCATATTCAGAACAAGTTTGTTAAGAGTGGGAATTGAATGAGTAAAACCAACTATATGTTATAGGTTTGTTTAATGAAGAATAAAGTAAAGATTGTTTTCTCTTAGAGTTTTAGGGTCAAGAAAATAAGCAGAGGAACAAGTGGGAAAGCTAAGAAATGATTTCCAATATGAGCAGTGTTGTAATGACAACGAACAGAAAAGAACAACCATAGATGTAGATATATATCAGTAGGGTCAGTCATAACTGAAGTGACTTTTAATCTGAGAGTTCAAGGATTAGGACCCAATCATGCAAAGAGCCCAATGAGATAATTTGTAGAAGAAAGAGCAAACTAAAAGTAAGTTGTTGTTGTTGTTAGGTGCCATCGAGTTGGTAACAATTCATAGAGACAATACGCACAACAGAATGAACCACTGCCAGATCCTGGGCCAACCTCACAATGGTTGCTATGTTTGAGCCCACTAATGCTACCACTGTGCCAGTCCATCTCGTTGTGGGTCGTCCTCTTTTTCTCTGACCCTCCATTTTACCAAACATGATATCCTTCTCCAGTGACTGGTCCCTCCTGACAATATCCTAAGTATGAAAGATGAAGTCTGGCCATCCTGCTTCCAAGGAGCATTCTGGCTGTACTTCTCCCAATGCAGATCTGTTTGTTCTTTTGGCAGTCCAATATTCAGTATTCTCCTCCAACACCATAACTCAAATGCATCAGTTCTTCTGTGGTCTTCCTTACTCACTGTCCAACTTTCGCATGCATATGAGGTTATTGAAAATACCATGGCTTGGGTCAGGCATACCTTAGTCCTCAAACTGGTATCTTTGCTTTTCAACACTTTAAAAAAGAGGTCTTGTGCAGCAGATTTGCCCAATGCATTATGTCATTTGATTTCTTTACTGCTGCTTCCATGAGTATTGATGGCTGAATCAAGCAAAATGAATTCATTGACAACTTCAATCTTTTCTCCATTGATATGGATGTTATTTATATCTCCAGCATAACAAATGGAGAAGTGAGGAGGTACAAGAGCTGAACAGAAAATTTCAAAGGTCAGCTCGAGAAGACAAAGTCAAATATTATAATAAAATGTGCAAAGACCTAGAGTTTAAAAAGTCCTACGAGGTAGGATTAAATTGGCGTATGTTCCAGGAACTGAGAGCAGATCCATCTAGTTAACATATAGCTGAATATGGTTTAAGATGATGTCTTAAAGTACATAGAGACCTTGTTGAACATAGTGAGTTTGGGATTTATTCTAAGAATATTGAAGTGTTTTAAGTAGTGAGTCTCATCCCTTGAGCTCCATCAGGATCACAGTATGGAGACTGTTAAATATAGGACTGCCCAGTAATGTAGAATCTGATCCAAACTTCCCAGATGATTCAGAGCCACATCTTAATTTACCTCATCTCCAACATCATTATCTTATGTAAACTCATTATTCTTATATTTGTTTTTTTCAAGTTGAATGGCAATATTTTAAAAATTCAAAGTCTTGGTGTGGGACTCTAGGATACACACTGGATTACTAACCATAAGGTCGGCAGTTCAAGCCCATCAGCTGCTCCTTGGAAACCCTAAAGGTCACTGAGTTGGAACCTACTCAATAGCACTTAATAACAATATTTTCTAATTCAGTCAGGAATTAGACACTTTGTCATTTATTTGTACCATAGAAATTTTACTCCTTTTAAAACAAATGAATAGTATATGTTTATTCTCTTGCATTCTTTCAGATTTGAAGACCAGATATGAGACCAAGAAGTTATTTTCAGAAAATGGTATTTATGAAATAAATTTATCACAATGGAAGATAATGGAAAGAATGAAAAACCATGGCCTTAAGGACCTTGTTCTAAAAAATGATTGGGAATACAAAGGCAAATTTGAAGGACAAGAGGGACCTCAAGAGAAATGTTTCAATCAAGTGAAAATCACTGTTGAAAAAGTATCTTCTTACCAGAAACAAACATCTCATAATCCACGTCAGAGAATTAATTTAGTTGAGAAACCCTATGAATGTAAAGAATGTGGAAAGGCCTTTCGAGTGCGCCAGCAACTCACTTTTCATCTCAGAATTCATACTGGTGAGAAACCCTATGAGTGTAAGGAGTGTGGGATGGTCTTTAGGCAGACCGCACACCTTACTCGACATCAGAGACTTCATTCTGGTGAAAAACTCTATAAATGTAAAGACTGTGGAGAATCTTTCATGTGTGGCCCAGACCTTAGAGTACATCAGAAAAATCATGTTGGTGAGAAGCCCTATGAATGTAAGGAATGTGGAAAGGCCTTTAGAGTTCGGGGACAACTTACTCTCCATCAGAGGATTCATACTGGTGAGAAACCCTATGTATGCAAAGAATGTGGGAAGGCCTTTAGACAATATGCACACCTTACTCGACATCAAAAACTTAATATTGCTGACAAACTCTATGAATGTAAAGAATGTGGAGAAGCCTTTTTGTGTGGCTCAGGCCTTAGAGTACATCACAAAATTCATACTGGCGAGAAACCCTATGACTGTAAGGAATGTGGCAAGGCCTTCAGAGTGCGACAACAGCTAACTCTCCATCAGAGAATTCATACTGGTGAGAAACCTTATGAATGTAAGGAATGTGGAAAGACCTTTAGTCGTGGTTATCATCTTATTCTTCATCACAGAATTCACACTGGTGAGAAACCTTATGAATGTAAGGAATGCTGGAAGGCCTTTAGTCGGTACTCACAACTTATTTCACATCAGAGTATTCATATTGGTGTTAAACCCTATGACTGTAAGGAATGTGGCAAGGCCTTTAGACTACTCTCACAGCTTACTCAACATCAGAGTATTCATATTGGTGAGAAGCCCTATAAATGTAAGGAATGTGGGAAAGCCTTTAGATTGCGCCAAAAACTTACATTACATCAGAGCATTCATACTGGTGAGAAACCTTTTGAATGTAAGGAATGTAGGAAGGCCTTTAGACTTAATTCATCTCTCATTCAACATCTGAGGATTCATTCTGGTGAGAAACCTTATGAGTGTAAGGAATGTAAAAAGGCCTTTAGACAACATTCACATCTTACTCATCATCTGAAAATTCATAATGTAAAAATATAGGAAAGACTTCTCAGGCTTGTGTTTTATGACATTCTGTGAATGTAGAATCTCTTTTTGCTTTATACATACAACTGATTTGACATAGGAGCTTTTATACCATTAAAAGAATATGCTAATTCAATGTATTCCAACATCACTCAATCCTAATAAACTGTAACATGTTCATTTCTTTTCTTTCTTTCAAAATGTGACTTGGGTAAAAGTTGACAGAGTCAATTCATTTTTCATTCAATAATTCATACACATTTTGTTCTTTGGCATTGATTGCTGTCTCCACAATGTAACAGCATTCTTCCCACTTATTCCTGTGTTTACCATTTCCCTTCGTCCTTCTTTCCTGTAGCTTTCAACCCTCTGAACTTTATTCCTGGGCAACTGCTACCCTTTTGATCTATGCTTGAGCTAATGAGTACAGACCTCACTGGTGTTAATTGTTCATCTGACAGGATGTCTGTCATGTGACAAAGTGGAGCTACAGGGGTGAGTTTAGTTCCAGACCTGAAGGGTTTCTAAAGGCTAGCACATTCATTCTAAAGACTAATCCTGTTACTATAACAAATGTGGAAAATATATCTCTTTCTTATCACTTTTCTACTTGTGAAGGTAACTTAAAAAGTATTGATATAAAAATCATAGACTTTTATTAAACAAAATATCAAGATGTGAAACTATTTCTCTACATATCCTCTATCTAGGCCTATATACTTTTTTGTTGTTGCTGTTGTCAGGCCTATAGACTTTTGAACGCAGTGTTTCTATTTCTTTAACTTTTCCCCAAAGAATTTTGAGCGCTTTGATTTAAAACCTGTCAAAATGGCAATTTTGGTTTAAGGGTTTGAGGGACTCACACTGTGTTCCTTTGAAATGTTGTTTGAGTTTTGGAAACAGAAAGATCAGGACTGTATGGTGGATGGGGCAAGGTTTCCCAACAACGTTCTTAGGACAGCCCTTGCTACCCTGGAAGAACTAGAAGGTACATTGTTGTGATGGAAGAAAAAAAAAAAAAATCAACTTTCTTGGTCTTTTTCCCAAACATTGCAGTTCTCAGTTTTCTAAATCCCAAAAAAAAACAGTCACTATAACTTCTGAGCTTCTTTGTCTTGAATTGACCTGGTCTGGCAGGTCCCCTTGGAAGCCATTGATTTGATTGGACCTTTTTTAAAGTCGTGCAAACAACAATAAGACAAGTGTATTATAAGAGAACTTGTCAGCAGCTGTAGTGTAATAAATTATCTAATGTCTCTTTTAACCTAGTCTGTAATTCCCACAAAACAAAGTTTCTGCCCTGCTGGTTTGGGGTAAGATAATGTGGGAGAAGATACTGAGAGAGTGGCATTCAGCTGTGGATATTAGCAGAGTTCATTGTAGCTGTAAAACTACAATGGGTTTAAAAATGAGCCATCTCAGAAGTAGGCGGGGGTGTCTCAGCACCATCAAAGAAGAGTCAGGAGTGGAGTGCATCCTTTGGACTTCGAGATTCTTGCACATTGAACCTCCTTGACTCAGGGACAGAAAGCTGTGACACCAGAGGAGTGGCAGAGGAACAGCAGCAGCAGAACCAAGAACCAGAGCAAGAGACAGAGTAGTGGGCTTTCCAGCCCATGGAGCCAATGAAGCTGAGTAACTTGGGGCAGATAGCTTGCTTGTAGAGTGGGATGCTTGTAGGCACTTTAGTGAGGGAGCTAGGTTTGCTGACCTATAGAGCTAGAGCTGAATGCCTTCAGGCTGAGGTTTATGGTGGAGTGGTGTGTCCTGTGGGCACTTATCAGCGACTGACTGAAATAACTGCCCTGAGCATTTTCTGACCCTGTTAACTTTCTTAATGAACCCCATAACTGTAGTGTCTGGGTTCTGTGTGGCCATTGCAACAAATGATCGAACCCAGCTGAATCGAGAGGGATGTGGGAGGAAGTGTTAGTGTCTCTTGTTTTTTGCAGCAGCCATCCACTCATTGCAGAGGTATGTTTACATATATTTGGAATAAGCCTGTGCATGTATGACCTAGAACCCTAATAACAATACTTTTTTATTTACCCTCATATTAAGTCACTTAACTTTCTGCTACAGCTTCATTTGTAAAATATTGGTATATCATGGCAGATTATCCTGGTATGGTGCTGCAGGACAAGCACTGGACTGCAAGGTCAGTTTGAACCACAATGTTGGTGGTTCAAACTCACCAGCCGCTCCTTGGAAACCCTATACAGGGTCTCTGTGAGTTAGAAACAACTTGATGGTACTTAGCAACAACAACAAATGACAGATTATATACTATGACTACAAATCCATTGATTTGTATGTGTGTGAGTGTGTGTGTGTTCACAAATCCTGCCATCAAGAGGAGGAATCCTCATCTCCTTCCCTTCAATCTGGGTGGGATCTGTGACTGTTCTGATGAATAGAAAACAGAAGTACTGCTGAACAGGAAAAGGTAAAAACATTCACTGCCCTCTCCGCCCAGGAGACAAGCTAAAATGTTAATCAGGTTATTGAGTGGAACCAGTCCTCTGGTTTCCCTCCTGTCTTCAAACAGGTCCACAACCTAACCCCTCCCCGATTCTGACCCCATATAAGTCTGCACTGCCCTGTATTCAGGCTCAGAATCTGGAGAAGCTAGCTCCTCTGAGCCGGCTGCCTTAATAAAATCTGAAAGTCTACTTCACCTCTCTGAGTGGCCTCGGTTGCTTTGACAATGGATCAAGAGCTGCTGTGATACTCTCAGGCCCAGGGCCGCTGTGACACTTCTGGGCCTGGAGCTGCTGTAACACTCTTGAATCTAAAACTGCTGTGCCAATTTTAGCACCCAGGCTTTACTGGCAGGTTTTGTATCATTTCTTGGGATACTTGAACCCTGAGCTGTCATTTAAAAAAGTTTGATGACCCTGCCAAAGAATTTAGATGGAAAGGCTCTGAGTGAGACTACATGGCGAGAAAGAAAGATCCTGTCGATTTGAAGGCATCTCCACCCAGACATCAGACATGTTAGGAAATCATTTTGAACCTTCCAAATCAGCCACCAGCTGAATGCCAACTGACCTCAATACCATATAAAACAAAAGAATTGCCAAGTTCTTGACTCACAGAGACATGAGATGATAATATTGTTTTAAAGTCACTAAATATTATTAATACTCGAGAATTCATAGGAGAAACTATGGGCAAAATGACTTAAAAATGCCTTCTGCCATCACTCATCCCTTATTGAAGTTCAGATCATTTTTATTGTGAAAGTGAGAAATTCTTCATTAAGCTGCAATGGAAATTTTAGGGGGGAAAAAACCTGAATTTGTGTGTGGAGATTTTGGGAATGCAAATGTTAAAAAATCAGTGCAAAGTAATTTGTTTTAAAAAAGCAGATATTCTACAAACCATTCTATGTCTACTCTAAATTCAGTCAAAAATTAAAGTTTTTTTTAAAATGTAATGCTCAAATTTTCCTATTTTTGGCTAGTGGGAATCCTCTCAACTTGGTTTCTGTAGTGACCTTTTATAATGGCCACTAACTATAGTCTTTGATAGAGTTCTGGTGTGGCACTAGAATGCAAAGTCAGTTTGAACTGCAAAGTCTATGGTTCCAACTCACGAGCCTCAGAAACCCTATTCCGGGTCACTATGGGTTGGAACAAACTCAACTGCACTTAACAACAACAACATAGCCTTTGATAGCTTCTTTTGTTTCTGGCTCCACTAGGCTGTGAAGAATATCAGGACATTGTTGTTAACGCCGAGTGGTAAGGGGAAAGGCAGAGAACGGGTCATTTATCTTCCCTTTATGAGAGAACCATTGCTGTTGCAATAGTTAAGTGCTTGGCTGCTAACCGAAAGGTCAGCAATTTGAAACCACCAGCCATTCCAAGGGAGAAAGCTGTGACAGTTTGTTACCATAAAGAACAGAAGCCTTGCTACCTATGAGAGTAGTTGTACTCATTCCCATAGGGTCACTGTTGAGTTGGAATTATGGACACCTGGTATGCCTTAGTAGGATAAGCACTGGACTACAAACCATATGATCAGCTGTTCAAACCCACCAGCTGCTCACAGGATACCTATACTGGGTCACTATGAGTTGGAACTGACGTGACAACACTTAACAACTACGTATCTCAGTGCAACCAACTGTTGGTGACAGAAAATATTATAGAATTACAGCTAATAAATTATATTTTAAAACTTACGATATAATGGTGGTGATATCAGTGGATGCCAAGACCATTAGGTGAAAGGCTGTTGGGAAGCTTAGTAATGGATAGAGTAGAATGATTTAAAAGACCAAACCAAACACTAATGTGTATTTTTGTATGCTATCAAGTCAGTTCCAACTCATAGAGAACTGCCCATCTTGTGGTTAACATTCCAGTGCTTATCCTACAGTGCCACACCAGGGCTCAATGCATATTGTTGTTGTTATGTGCTGTCGAGTCGGTTCCAACCCATAGTGACCCTGTATAGGGTTTCCAAGGCTGTAACTTTTTATGGGAGCAGAAAGCCTCATCTTTCTCCCACAGAACCACTGGTAGTATCAAACTGCTGACCTTGAGGTTAGCAGCCCAACTCATAACCACTACACTACCAGAGCTCCTTCAATGCATATTAACATCTCTATATTTGATCAACCAACCAATGAACCTCTTGAAGTGATGCAATTGAATGTACACAGGTCCCCTATCAGGTATTATTACTCAAAATCTTGAACTATAATTAATTATAATTAAGTCTTACAATCTAATTATCAGTTTATAGAAAACTCGGGGAATGAAAGAATAAACTAACAACTGAAGGAAGCAAGTAACCTAACTTAGAATATGAGATGAGATGTTTCTTAATCAATACATGTCATGGCAAAATGAAAATGGAGTCTGAGATTTAAATGACATCACAGTATATGGAAAGCATTTGAATCTTGATTTGGATGAATAAAAATTTGGGGGAACTTGAAATTACCTGTAGCCTGTATTAAAT